AGGAGACTTTCCCCTGAGGTCACAGCAAGACTGACATCCACAGGGCACTCGATTCACAGTGCAGCAGACTGGATGGCATTTGTACATCATAACGCCCAGACCACCAGCAATCATGTCCAAATTGCTCCCAGACGTGAGTTTAGAGGCGGGCGCATCTCCCAGGCTTCCAAGCCAGCCCCGGAATAAGGAGGTTCCTGTGCGCTGGGTCCGGGGAAGGTCTGTTCTGCTTGTTGGTTAATAGCTTGCGTCTCTTAATGGTGCTTGTGCTTACCTACTGGGTCTCCATTGGCTGCCCTGGTTCAGGTCTCCTTTAACTACTCAGAGGTCATCTAACTAAAAATAGCCCTTTTCTTAAATCAGAGGCTCATTTTATAACTTTCGGGTCAGAAGACCCGGTGTATCAGTAAAGGCACAGGCTGACTTGTTGCAAGTTTGACAGTTGCTAGCACATGAGCTTCATTCAGCCACAGCACGGATAAACAGGCATGCTTGTGTATGCATGTGCATGTAAGCATGCACGTGTGTACATGTGTTGTGATAGAGTGGCGGAAAGATCTGTGAGTGACAGCCGCCTCCAGAAGAAATTGCATTTTTCTCATTTTTCATCATACACTACTGATTCAAAAGTTTTTATTAATGAATTGACTTGTAACCCATCATAGAAAGTCCTACCCCTTTGTATATGGCAATTTCCCATAAGCCACATAAAAATATTGTGACTTTTAATAAATATTTCTGGATACAGCCATATGTGAAAGTTTTTACGAACATAATGTTTTATAAAATTTTCGTGTAGTATTTTTTGGTAAAAAAAAAATGCAGTTTGTGTGTACATGTGTGTGTGAGTCTATACCTGATGCGTGTGTGTGTCTCCAATAGGTCATGTTCTGGTGCGTGACATGCGGCTATATATGGCTTCATGTTGTCCAGTGTGTGTTAGGAATTGCAGTGGGGGCAGTGGGGCAACGTCTACGGATTTCACTCCTTACAGTGACTGGCTGGGCTTATCCAGGGGCGCTCCCTTGCCGGGTGAAGGTGTTGCTTGGGATCGCTGGCTAATCTGTACTCGTTCTTCTGTAGACAAGCAGATGCCCAGCGTCGGGAAGGCAGTTCAGGAGCACAGCCGTCCGGGAGCACATTCTCGGAATCACCTCGCACCCAGGAAGCCCCAGAGCTGCCCCGGGAGGGCCCGGGCCGAGCGGGGACCCTGCCTCGCGATTATCGATACTCGGAGGAGATCGCGCCGGCAGATTCGCCCCCGCCCGCCCGGGGACAGGAATCGCAGC